AAAAAACGAAAATAATAAAATAAAATAAAAAACTACCCCATATATATATATATATATATATATATATATTGGTTACTTTATTTGGATTAATAAATATAGGTATACATATAAAAATGAAAATAATAAAATAAAATAAAAAACTACCATATATATATATATATATATTAATTGGTTACTTTATTTGGATTAATAAATATAGATATAATTAAATATAATTAAAAAAACGAAAAATCAATATATAGAAAATAACTACCCATTTAAATTTCGTGGGAGTGGTTTCAAGTTTGAGTTTTTAAATTATTTTAAAATAAAAAGCAAAAAAAAAAAATTTACCTATAAAAAAAATGAAGAAAGAGAAGAAAAACTACCCATTCAAATTGGGAAGTAGTTTCAAGTTGGAGTTTTAAAATTAAAAATAAAATTAAAAAAATAATGAATTACCAATTCAAATTGGGGAGTAGTTTCAAATTGGAGTTTTAAAATTATTTTGAAATAAAAAAACAAAAAATCTATTTATATATAATATACATATAAAAAACGAAAATAATAAAATAAAATAAAAAATTACCATATATATATATATATATATATATANTATTAGCACTCTGACACCGCAAAATATGATCTCATACCAACACAAACAACCATCTTCCTTCTCTATACACTGAGCATTCTTTATCAACAACAGCTCAAGACATCCTAGTATTTTTCTCATATCTACGAAAGCACCATATAACCTTTGTCAAAATTTTGCTTCATTCGTGCCATCCTCGGCTCAATTTCTGCAACCAGGACTGATCCGCCAGCATACCTCGAAACGGAACCAACATAGCACATAACCGTGCGATCAGCTAATCAACATCAACCTCCCCAACTTGGCTCGAAGCCATCTATCAGGACACATTCAATAACCCACAATACTTCTTACTCTAATGATGCCGCAATATTATAGTGAGATTAAACTCAAATCATCTACTAGTTTACGAAAACACAGATCATCTGGTACTGAAATCCTCTGCAAACCTCGCATTCATTCCCACATCAGCTGAGTCCACTCTTTTAAGCGACCCAAATTCTCAAATTACAACACTTACCTTTCAATTACACATGGAATCTTCTAACGGACACATAAGGATCATACAACTCAAGAACACTCCGCAGGAGATAACCCACCTGCTTCGCCTCAATTTAGTATTTAAGCACACCTTCCACCATCATACACATAACACAATCAATTTAGTCTTCCTGAGTCTGAACTCATACCGCCACACGTAATGCATTTCACTCCCAACTAGGAGATACAAAAATATTCTTCACGCGCCCATAATTCGGGCTACACATCAAATCACAATAGGAAACGAATCACTTAACAGTTCATCTATTATCCAACAGACTTCTTCGTCACTACCAAGTCATATAATTATATCTCGCAGTACTAACATACTCATCACATGAATACCAAACCGCCATTCCGGCTAATAGGGGCAATACTGAACATATAAGTTCAAAACACTTGCTCATACGATCAGCACCTCGGTGCTCAAGCCATAGGCAAGATCCGGCCTCAAGTCCTCCAGACTGGCCTAACATCAAACTCACGGAGAACACATCTCGCCCCTTGATCGGGGAATCACAAGCCATCAAGGCACCTCTGATACTGAGCGCTAAGGTGCGCATACAAACGCGTGGAAGGAATTTTAAGAGTTTCTTTTCAAGCTGAATCAAGGACGCACGATAAGAATTCAAGAATGTGAAGTTTTCCTAAAGGTTCTGCAGCCTCTCGTGGATACATACAGACGTCTCCGTACCGATCCGCAAGACTCTACTAAACCTGCTCATGACTCGTGAGACCTAGTAACCTAGGCTCTGATACCAACTTGTCACGACCCAATTTCCAAACCCGGTCGTGATGGCGCCTCTCGTGAAGACAAGGCCAGCCAACTAACCCAAATCGAATCATACTTCTTTGAGGTACGAGGGAGACCACTCACAAAATCCATAGTAATCCTCTCCCACTTCCACTCGGGAATATCTATCCTCTAAAGTACACCACCGGGTCTCTGATGCTCATATTTGACCTGCTGACAGTTGAGACACCGAGCTACATAACTTACTATATCTTTCTTCATTCTCCTCCACCAGTAATGCTGCCTCAAATCCTAATACATCTTTGCAGCACCCGGATGAATGGCATACCGCGAGCTGTGGGCCTCCTCTAATATCAACTCCCGAAGCCCATCCACATTGGGCACGCAAATCCGGCCCTGCATCCTCATCGCGCCGTCATCATCAATAGTCACATCCCTAGCATCATCGTGCTGAACCCTGTCCTTCAGGACAAGCAAATGTGGATCATCATATTGGCGCTCTTTGATGCGGTTATACAAGGAAGACCGAGAAACTACACAAGCCAACACCCGACTAGGCTCCGAAATATCTAACCTCACCATCCGATTGGCTAAAGCCTGAACATCAACTGCAAAGGGCCTCTCCCCAACTGGAATGTACGCCAAGCTACCCAATCCCGGTCGTGATGGTGCCCAACACTAATGCTAGGCAAGCCCGACCAATTTAAATACTCTCAACCCAGATACATAATCCGTTAACAAATAATACGATTAAAATAGAAAATATCAAGGTTCCAATCCGAAACTAATAAAATAGTATGGAAAAATAATAACGAATATCCCAACATTCCCCAATAGATCTGGAGTCACGAGTCTAGAGCCTCTAAATGTAACAGAGTAATATATTCATAGTAATAAAGGAAGTCTAGGACAGGAAAAGACAAATGCAATAAAGGGGAGAAGTCGGGTCCTGCGGACGTCAGGCAGCTACCTCAACAACTCCTAAACCGAAATCCAAGAAGACATTAAACAGCTCCACTAAGTCTCTGGAGCACCTGAATCTGATTATCACGTGCAAAATCTTGAACACAATAAAACCATTCTCGAGAGTCGTTCACTCTTATACAACTGTAATTTACCTGACTTAACGAACAGAACCACTCGCGCCTTATTAGCACTCTGACACCGCAAAATATGATCTCACCCGAGGTTGCAGGTATGGGTTATCACAGCTGGTTCGGGTTTATTTTGAGTATAGATGTGAGGTCCTGATCTTGTGTATGATAAGTGCAAGGTGGTTCTACGGTTTATGGTTTAGATGGACTGTGAAATTTCAGCTATATTGTGTTATCGGACCTATGCGAGATAGGGTGACGAGGGATCACCCCGGGTATATGCTTGGTAAAGTTATTCAGCTGTTGGTTAGCTTCTAGGACAACTCTGGGTACGCTCGAGGACGAGCGTTGGTTTAAGTTGGGGAGGATGTGACGACCCGACCCGTCGTATCAGGTATTACTACCCCGTTTTCCTCATTTATTACTTCTTCATGTTTCATTACCGGTATGTGGTGAGTTAGAGTTGATTCGTATTGGTTTTGATAAGAAATGAGACACTTAGTCTCTTTTAAGAAAGCTTAAGTTGGAAAAGTCAACCGGACGTCGACTTATGAGTTAGAGGGCTCGGATGTGATTTCCGGTGATTCGGTTAGCTTCGGGAGATGATTTGTGACTTGGGAGCGTGATCGGAATTTATTTTGGAGGTCCGGTGTAGAATTAGACTTGAATTGGCGAAGTTAGTATTTTGGCGAATTCCGATTGATAGGCGAGATTTTGATATAGGGGTCGGAATGGAATTCTGAGAGTTGCAGTAGCTCCGTTATGTCATTTGGGATGTGCGTGCAAAGTTTTAGATCATTCGGACGAGGTTTGGTAGACTTTTTGATCGAAAGTGCATTTCGGAAGTTTTTGAAGAACTTAGGCTTGAATCCGATGTGATTTGATGGTTTTAGCGTTGTTTGATGTGTTTTGATGATTGGAACAAGTTTGAATGATGTTATGGGATATGTCCGTGCTTTTGGTTGAGGTCCCGGGGGCCTCGGGTGAGTTTCGGGGTGGTTTCGGACCATTTCTAGGCCATTTTTAACTGCTGGTTTTTGGCTACAGCAGTTTTCTATGCGATCGCGGGGAATTGGTTGAGATCGCGGTGAGTAAAATGTGAGAAACGTGCCAATGAATCGCGATCGCGTGAAGCCTTTCGCGATCGCGGAGAAGAAATATTCTGTTGCGTTGATGCCACTTCGGAAGCTTATATCTCACAATCTATAAGGAATTTGGAGATGATCCAAAAATGAAAATTGTAGCCCTTTGTGTCTAGTTTTCAGAAATGTAAATTAACTGGAATTTAAAGTTGTGTACAAAAAGTTATGGTGGTTACACTATAGGCTGCCCGGGAAGGTCTCTAATACACAGGGATGAATTTGGAAGCTTATATCTCGCAATGTATAAGGAGTCAGGAAATGAGCAACATATAAAATTATAGCCCTATGTGTCTAGTTTTCAGAACATCAAACCNCAGAATATTGCTGAAATAATCTTCCTGTGTGTAAAACATCATCTTCATCGTCATTTCTCATTTGAAGTTTATAACAATAATACTCACGAATTGAAACATTGTCTCTTTTTCGTTTTTTCCGTTGTAGGACATGCTCTTCCATTTCAAGATATCCATCAATTGAACACATATTCCTAATATTTGGTAAGTCTTCATTTTCACAAGAAATAGTTTGTCCATGAGTTCTAGTTGCAGGCATAATTTTTTTAATTCCACAATGCCATCCCCCTTGACCATATGGAAATAATAATGGATACTGTAAAGGATCATAACAACCATAATAATAATTTACTAATTGTGACCTATTACTATTAGTGTAAATTCGAATATGAGGTGCTCGAATAACATTACTACTATTTTCTTCAACCCATATTGTAGCAACTTCTGATGCAGTAGGGAGGTTATATATTCGTTGATCCAAGCTTGCATCACATTTAAGCGCATAGAAGTTTGGCAGGTTTGGAACATTAGTCAACGATCTTAAAAAAATAGAATAGGGATTATTTCTCAGCAACTCCATCAAATTTCTGACTATACTTTCATCAATCCTATCGGAACAAGCCATTCTGTTTGCTAGTTCATTATCATTGTCATAGAAGTATAATTGCAGATTTTTTGCCTTTTGGTTCGCAGGGAATAGATCATCTATGAAATGATACATTTGTCCTTGAACTCTAAAAGTATAAATACCATGATTTCTTCTCGCTAAATCTTTGTCGTAGCTCACACCAAGTGATGTAAATGCAAAGATATTATTGTATGTTCTAATGTATGTGCGAAAGCGTTTAGATTCCTCAGTATTTCCTACATATAAATTCCGCAATTCTGTGGGCATTTTGTGTGCAGTTAAGCTGACTGAACCATTGCTACAACAAAATCCAGGAGGTTCAAACTGAAATTTCTTAGCTCGACAGAACTTGCAACGTGAAATTAATTTTAGTGGGACGTATTCTGATCGCATTTGGCTAATGGTTATGTTGCCTGTTTTATTTACCTTTGGACCTGCAGCTACCAAAAGGTCACAATGAATAAAAGCAAAGGCAAAGCCAGATTGGTAAGAAATAATACTGCAATATATACCAACCTCTATTCAAAATAGTATAAGAATTCTGATTTTGTTCATTAGTCGTACCAGACGTTGACCCTAGTAGAAGATAATTTTAGAAAATATAAGTAAATATTTTCTCAATTGAAAAATGATGATAACTTTTTCCATAGAGGATTGTACTTGCCTACTTCAAATATTGAGGATGGAAGGGCAGAATCTTTTGCCCTCTCAGATTGGGCTGCCAGCGTAATGGTACGGTCCATATTAGCTAATAATTGTAACACAAAATGTGGATAATGTCAAAGTAATTTAATAAGCTTGACGAAATAAGCGTATTTATCAGCACATACATACGAACATGTAGAAAATTCTACACAACGGCGGAAAACGCACATGCTTAGTATTCTAACCTGTTTTAGATGACATTAAGCAGCAACAGAATTTTTTCCTCGTAGTCGGCGTTTTAGCAGCAGAGCCTGTTTTTCAGTGGATGCCATTTGTTTATACCTCTCACGCCGTCTGAAATTCATTTCTGCATTTCGTTCTGCCTGGTACGAAGAAATGTTTTTGTTTTGAGAATGCATCTGCTTCAATGTACTTCTATCTCCAATTATCTGTAGTTGAGACCATGTTAGAGACTACATATTCTAAAGTAGAACGGAGACATCAATAACCCTATTTTCCTAAATCAATGTTGCTGGAGCAAATTTAATACCCATTACAAATTGACCCAAATCTATAGCAAATTTTTCAAATTACAGACAATGCCTCACAATATAGTGTGTTAATGCAAATCCAGCTTTTTCACTTAAGAAACACAAGCACAGGTAAGAAGCCATTTTATGAAAAAGACTTTGAAATGTACTTTTGAATAAGTATGAACTATCAAAATACCAGAGAGCTCTGTGATTAATTGGTTTATATTTATAAATATAGATTAATTTCTTTTTAATCTAGTCTATAAACAGCAAATGCATGTACATATATACAGCTCTACCAGCCAATATACTCTACCTCAAAAGTTAAAAATATATATAAGGAAAAATACAAAAATGAGCATATAGTATTTACTCTGTAGGAAAGGTAATACACAAAAATATTAAACAAAAAGTATGCAAGGAAAAACCTTGTAAGGGCAAAAATTTAAAATTATTCACAAGATCAACCCAAAGCAAAAGCCCAAAAAAAGAAAAGATAAATTTTACGGACCAAAAAAAAACCCAATTGAGAGGTAATTTGCTATTGACCAAATTATTCCCCCAAAAGTATAAAACCAGTATTTATTCCCAAATCAACCAAAAAAATAGAGCAAAAACGGGGAAAACTTATAGAATCCATAATGCTAGCAAGAGTCTAGGAGCCCAAAGAGGAAAGATTAATTTTTATTTCTGATGAAGTTCTGATGGTGGAACCTTGAGGAGAGAAAGAAAAAAGGATTTCGTTGCTTTTGGTATCACATTAATGGAAAATAGTGTAGTAAAATCTACATAGGGACACAAAGATAGAAAACAGTACAGTTAGATGTACTTTCTTGAAGTATACCTCTTCTTGAATCTTCCAGAGCCTCTCTCTCCCTATCTCACCTTTTCTTTCTCCTTTGTTACGGATCCTTAGCGTCGTTTCTGGGTTTTCTATTCAGAAATTTTTAATTTGATTCAAGTAGTAACTATGCTCACCAAAAGGCCAAAAAGTCACAAAGGCACAACAGTTGAGACTGAAAGTCAAACGAAGAACATAGACTCAGAAAGAAAAGCGAAGAACATATAATCAAAAAGAAAATTGAAAGAGGATTGAAAGAAAATTTAGAGTTTCATCTTTCAGTTCCAGGAGGATAAGAATAGAAAGCCACCGCTTAATTAGGCAAATGTCTAATAAATCCTCACCATAAAGTGTTCCTTAAATTTTTTCAAGGACAAAAGTGGTAGATCACAATATAACTTTTTACCCTAGTTCCAAAGCCACAGGTGTTGGGCCATAAAGTCACACGTGTTGAGCCCTTAATCTCAGTTCACTCTTTAAACAGAAGCACATGAAAAACCAATTATATCGTATTTTAACTCTTGTTAAGCACACACGACGACGGGAAGCTGCTTTGCTCTACTAATTTGCTTTTAATTTCGATACAAGAAAAGAGTTGTACTATACTGATGATGCCAACTTTTACAAGCTAAAATTACACAAGGTTTAAATGAAACGATCTGTGGGCCCAATCGTTAAAGCAAAAGATACTGACATTGTAGTGATGTAACAGAACAAAAGCTGACATAAGCCAGTAAAAAGCAGAGGGTATAATGGTCAAAGCAGGAAAATATTTACGANCCGTTGGGGATTGTGACTTAGTCGTCCGGTTGTTGGTTTATTGCGTAATTGACTGAAACTACTTGTTATCATCAGTTATTTGGGTTGATTGCTATATTTGGGCTTCGTGCCAATTATTTGAATCCTTTAGGGATTATTATCACTGTTTTCATGACACTTAGCATATTAAATGATTTCAGTCCTGAGTTAAACCCTGTTTTGAAATGTGTAGTCATATTGCTAAAGTTTAAAGACTTAAATTGCATTTTTCTGATGTTTTGAGTTAAAAACTATTACCTGACATTGCCCGAGTGGCTCATTTGCATGTTCTGGACTGAGGATGGATCGGGCTGCACGCCGCAGCGATGCTATGATGATATTGCGCTTGGGTTGTAGGAGCCCCTCCGGAGTCTGAACCCCCACAGTGAGCGCGGGTACCTAGATGGATCGGGCTGCACGCCGCAGCGGTCATATGCATTGCATTGCATTCATGCATTGGTTCCTGTTTGTACTACGTGTCATGACATTCAGCACTCTCATATCATTGGCATCCATGCTACTTCTTGTACTGCTTACCAGACGCCCTGGTGTTAATTGTTTGTGGAGTGCTGTGCCCGAGGGGCTGACTTATGTGCGGACTTGCACTATCTGATTACGCATTCATTTGCTCGATTGTTGGAAAAAGATATTTTCAAAAGAGGTTTTAAACTGAGTCAGATATTTTCTAAAGGATTTTCACGGTTTCATTGTTTTTCTGAGAGAGTTGTACTGTCCTATATAGCGTGATGGAGTGCTCTTACGTGATTTCTTGCCTCTCAGTTATTATTTATTCTTATTACCACTGAGTTGGAAGTACTCACTTTACTCCCTGCACCTCGCGTGCAGTTGCAGGTATTGTTCACCCGGTAGCGGGTTATTAGCTGATTGAAGGTAGGGCTATTGTAGTTGAGCAAGGTGACCGCCAGCGTTCGCGGCACCGGATGTTGTCTTTTGATTTTCCAGAATTTTTCTTTATATATTATTATTGGCCCTGTAGTTGTGTTCAGGTTTCTTTAGATGCTCGTGACTTGTGACACCCCGGTCGGGTAGAAATTAATAAATTTTAAATGCCATTAAGTTGTATCTTCTATTTATTTATGTTTGATAATTGTTAATGAAAGGATTTGGGTTAGTTGGTTGGCCTTGTCTTCACGAGAGGCGCCATCACGACCAGGTTGGGAATTGGGTCGTGACAATTCAAGTAGTAACTGTGCTCACCAAAAGGCCAAAAAGTCACAAAGGCACAACAGTTGAGACTGAAAGTCAAGCGAAGAACATAGACTCAGAAATAAAAGCGAAGAACATAGAATCAGAAAGAAAATTGAAAGAGGATTGAAAGAAAATTTAGAGTTTCATCTTTCAGTTCCAGGAGGATAAGAATAGAAAGCCACCGCTTAATTAGGCAAATGTCTAATAAATCCTCACCATAAAGTGTTCCTTAAATTTTTTCAAGGACAAAAGTGGTAGATCACAAAATAACTTTTTACCCTAGTTCCAAATCCACAGGTGTTGGGCCATAAAGTCACACGTGTTGAGCTCTTAATCTCAGTTCACTCTTTAAACAGAAGCACATGAAAAACCAATTATATCGTATTTTAACTCTTGTTAAGCACACACGACGACAGGAAGCTGCTTTGCTCTACTAATTTGCTTTTAATTTCGATACAAGAAAAGAGTTGTACTATACTGATGATGCCAACTTTTGCAAGCTAAAATTACACAAGGTTTAAATGAAACGATCTGTGGGCCCAATCGTTAAAGCAAAAGATACTGACATTGTAGTGATGTAACAGAACAAAAGCTGACATAACCCAGTAAAAAGCAGAGGGTATAATGGTCAAAGCAGGAAAATATTTACGAAGGGGCTACAGTACAATTCTTTTTCAGCCAATCAAATTCTCCCATTGACTCAAAGCTCTTACACGGAATGTTCTGTTAAAGTATAAAATAAGCTGAAATGACAAAAGTATCCTCAGGTCAAACTTTAAATCCAAAGAAGCACACATGTTGACGGGAAGCTGCTTTGCTTTCCTTTATGTATGGTAGTAATTATTTTTCGTACTATAGGTATTATTATGCTATATAAATAATGTTTCTCATTGTTTTTCGTATTTTCGATGAATGGACAAATTCGAGAATCTTAAATTTTTGTTAAGATAACTGGTATAAGTACCCTCACGATGTGCGGACATAATCCATGTCAAACAATGATTTAGATTATTTGAATTATGTGCAAATAACCTTAAAATTTAGACCTTCTATATTGAAAATACAAATAATTATTTAATATTAACTAAGAAGCATCACATGAAACCATTTTCAAATCTCATAGTGGATAATATGTTTTCTTTTTCTTCGTCAGAACCCAACCTCATAATTTTGACACTTGTATTATATTTTACGATCAATATTAAGGAATACTAAACATATAACGTTGTGATCTGTCTTGTTTGAGTACATTAAATTGTATTATTTTAACAAAATTCTTACTACCACTTTATTTTTTTTCTCAAATTCAAATAAGTCTTATCCTTCTACATTGTTAGATACAAAATTTTTCTCTTTATTGTCCATTTCTTATAGTTTTTGCATTTTTTATTACTTGATATTGTTATATGTAATGTGATTTTTTATTAGCTAATAAATTGATTTAATGTATTGCTTATTACCCTTTTAATAATTATTAATACATGTAAAAAAATTTATTCTCGAAATTGAATGTGTTTTTACACTATTATCCTCTTACTCGGATCTCTTTCATCATTTAAATTTATTAATAATAAGTATTATTTATTAATTGTATTTATTTATTTTAAATAAATTTAAAAGTAAAAGTATCCTCGCACTATCTCTATTTTCCTCTTTATACATTCTCTTTCTTACTAAGAAATTTTAATTAGCTTTTTACATAAATATTTTACCTATACTCAAAATAATATCATATTTTATTTTAAAATATAATTTTAAATTACTCTAAAAATTACTCCCTCTGCTTCAATTTAGATGACACATTTCGCTTATCGACAATCAATTTGACTAAATTTGAAGCTAAATTAAATTAGTTCAACTTAGTATTTTAAAATTAAAATTTAGATATACAAAACTACATGAAAAGTACTACAAGTTACAATTTTTCTCATGTCAATATGATATATTTTAAAATGTTGGTCAAACTTCATGCAATTTGAATCTCGATAAGCAAAATGAGTCATCTAAATTGAAACAAAGGGAATAATACATAAGTTCTTTTATAATGTTTCAAATCTATTGAATTTTCTTAAAATTTTTTGTATTACGTGCATTTATTTTGTATTTCTTTTAGTATCAAGATGCAAATTTGGCTTTTAATTTTCATTAGTGAAATTACCTACATGAGATATTTATTTATTATATTTAAAATTTTAATTTAGTATCAATTTTTTTGTTTTCTTTATCTAGCAAGACTATTTTGTGGTCATATCTGTATTTTGAGCATACTCATCATAACTTTAAGATCTTTCTAATCTCAAGTTCAAATAGTATTTTTCTTTTATTTTCAATATAGATTTGTTTGAATTTTAATTGGTTTTCTTACTTTTGCTAAAATGTTATCTAATATGTAATATTATAATATTTTCATATGATTTTTTTAACTTTCCAAATATTTTTATCCGCTACTATTTTTAATATAATATAGATAGATATGTAATTTTTTATATTAAATTAAATAAATTTTTTATTTTTATAAATATTGATTGAAATTCTTAAATTATTTAAACTTATCAATAATATTTTAAAGTGTTGTATATTCACTTTATTTTATTTTGTAAAGCAATTCTTAGAAATATCCTCACATTATCTCTAATTTATTTTATTATTCAATATTTTTTATTTTTTTCTTTATTTGTTAGATTTTAGTTATGTGTCCTTATATACATGCATGCCATTTCTTATCATACTTAAAACAAATTTTTCTCATCTCAAATTTAAATAAGTTTTATTTTTTTTCTTTTGTATGATGAAATTTTGATTCTCTTTATAAAATGTTATCTATATCCTCTCTATAAATTGTTTAAATTTAAATTTAAGCGCATGATTAGAAATATATATATATATATATATATATATATATATATATATATATATATATATATATATATATATATATATATATNTAATAGGAGAGGCAAAGAAATGTTATAATGACAAGTGTCATAATTTCTATTAACAATATAATTATACTAAATATTAGATAATATAATAAATAAAAATACATAACAAAAAAATTATTTGATGACTATATAAGTCCCTTTAATTTAATGGAGATTTTATTTATTAAAATTTAGACAATATCTATTCTATTTATATAGAATAGAATAATCAAATAATTGTGATAATTCCAAATGTAACATCGAAAAATTAACAAAGTGACAAATATTTTTTTAATATTAACCACGCATCGCGGGGGTACGACTACTAGTAGAATTAATAAAATAGTACTTATACAACTAGGCTTCCTAGACTGAAGCACCCATAGCCGCAAGCCTTGAC